GTGTGTTTTTACAAGAAGAGCATGCCAAGAATAGATGAGCCGGTGTTTCCCTGTGGAATGCGATTGCGATCAGTTAATCACCTTCACCTTCACCTATCCACTACTCTGGCTGACCGTTAGGGCACCACTGTTGATTTTGCAACAGCTTCTTTCATTCCTCTCGGGTTTCAGCTTACATGTTATCGTCTCATTGTTTTTTCTCCCTCCCTCTTTGTCTCCTTCCTCGTGCTGTTCCCTGTAGGATAGTCTTGGCCAGTTCAGACGATCGAAGAGGCAGACAGAGGACTGTTAATCAGTTACGGTTATTTTAAATAAGACGGCCGCGCGAGGATCAGGGATGTGGGTGTGTGTGTATAAGGGGCGGGGAGGGGAGGGGAGGGGAGGGGAGGGGCGCTACAGGTCAAACCTACTTTACCACTCTCCCGTTCGTCATGTCTGCATCGATTTTCTTTTTTTTGTGTGTTTCTTTTTTTTCTTTTTTGTTCCCTGCTGATTAAATGGTCGTGATCCCCTCTCTTAGAGTTAGAGCGAAAGAAATTATTTGTAAAAGCCGGAATGGCCTAGGGTCATGGAACGCTGATGACTTAAGATCATGATACGTCCCTCAAAGGTAACGGAAGGCCGAGTTAAGATGTCAAGGACAAGGGCAGGCAAAAACATTTACGAGATCCGTCCTCACGTGCATAAACCCTGCATGTGACCACATGTTTGCGAGATGGAAAACTGCTTTTCAAAAAAGAATAGCGGGACCCATCCATAAGTAGACATATTTTTAAAAAAACAGTTGAGGCCTGTGCACTTTTGTAATCAGAACTCTATCATTGATATTAATGTTTTTCTTGCTGTTTGATTAGCGGAAATGAGTTTACTGTGATGCAAATGTAATGTCCAAATGATAGGCTTACAATGTTGAGTCAAAGGGATCTGGACAAAGGGATTCGCTTTGTACTTGTACTAAAAGTACCGGCGAGAGGAGAGAGTGAAGGAGAGACGAAGTAGCAGTTCCCATTGGCAGGCATTGTGCCAGTGGAACCAGACAATGCAATTTAAGGCAAGAAAGATATTAGAGTTGGGGAAAGCTGGAGTGGGAGTAGGAAATAGAATTCCAAACATCTTAGACTGTAAGAAAGAGAAAATTATACGTCAACACATCGTTGTAAGTGGTGGAGTAGTCTGTTCTTCTAGCTTAACTTCTATTTACAGAGAACACTGAAAACTGTGGAAACAATGACGTCAATCCACACCAGATTCACGGAAATTATGGATTTCGTGGGTCAACCCACTTTTTTTCCCTTCTGTTTCCTCTTTTCAGTCACTCTTTTCATCGGTTTGTCTTCTCGTGGTCTTTATCGTTCGTCAGCAATTCAGATGTCCCAGGCCCAAAGTTCGGAAATATTTATAAATTTGGGTTTTTAAAAATAGAAAAGCTTCAGTTTCTTCAACTGCAGTATGTGTTGCTTGTGATCAAGAAATATTATGTCAAAATCCAAATTCGAAATGTTGAAAAGGGCAAGAAAAGATAATGTAAGAAGATTAATTATTCATCATGGTCTAAAAAATTAAACTTATGTATATTTTTTTCCCTTTCAACTAAAGTTATATTGCTTTATGGTTTTAGAACATTTAAATAGCCTGTTGACATGTTTTGTCGTATATTTAATCTGGATGCTTTTGTGGGTGGTTAGCGGGTACTCTGGTGTAGTTTGCTCCTTCTTTCCTATAAAATATCTATCGTCCTTTTCTCTCCTCGTTCATTTTTGTGTATGCTACTCTCTTGTAACACATCCATTCTTCGGCACTTATATGACCTTACTGTGTTGCAAATGTCGTAAAACCCTGACTAAAACTAAAACTGTTTGCTTTACTCGATCATAAATCAAGCTCTATCTGCTTTATTTGAATCGTAAGATTATTTGCAGTCGATATCAAGATGTTCAAAGAATTGCTTTCGAAAATGTTTGACATAATGTGAAATTCACATTCTTTGACGTCAAGTTTCTCAAAATTAGGTACTAATCAGATAGAACCTTTTAATTCTGAGGTAGCGCGTCGGCAAGCTGTAAAAATATATAAAGCCCAGAGTGCAAAATTTGACAGGAGGACATTTTTTGTTTAGTTTTAGTAGATGTTTTACAGCGCTCGCAACTGCATTAGGTCATATGACCGCCAGAAGATTAGAGGTGTTGCAAGAGAGTAACAAACATAAAAAAGAAGAAGGGGAGATACGGACGATAGATGTTTGGTAGGAAAGAAGAAGCAAATCACACACCAGAGCTAATCGGCCCCACGGTCTTATTTGTTCCAAGTAGGAGATGCTACCTTTATTTAAACGCTTCGCTACTCTAGAATTACAAAGTTCTATCTTGTGAGAGTCTAGTTGTTTGGAGAAATTTGACGTTACAAAATTTAAGTTTCACAACTCGACATGCTTTTTCGAATGCAATTCTTTGAATATCCTGCTAACGACTCCGAATATTCTTAGGATTTTGATAGAGCATATTATTATAGACCAGCGTTTCTGACCTTATGGTGTCAGTAACTCAAAACGGCCAAATATGTCTGATAGGACATTGTAATTTTTAGGTAGTGACTTTCGAAAAAGAGCACTATATCACCTGCACTTTTTAAAACCTCATTACACGTTTTGTACTGGCCACAATATATAATCAAATCTTTTCCAATAGAAAGTTCATCAAGAGACAAAAGCAAAAGCAAAATAGAAGAACTCATCCGTAAGTAGATGCACTACTGAGTTGAGGCCTGTGAACTTAGTAAACGAACCTCTATCATTGACTTGTCTCGCCGGTTGCAATGTTGGAATAAATTAATTGGAATATATATGTGTCACGACTTGGTGGAATCAGGCACTCGTAAATTTTTGGGCCTATAGAGTTATTTGTATCATCTAAAGCTTGTTCATTTGTCTTGCTTTCGATGAATAACACATCTCGAATAAAAGCCTCGATATTTGATGTTGAAAGTGGCGGGGGTCACCTGGTTTCAGAGTTAAGATTAGCGAGAAAATGGCTTCCAAAGTTTGGTGTTGAGACAAAAAACAAAAACCGTCAAACATTATTGCTTTCTTCTATTTCGTTATATTGGCGAGCGCATGATTTCACCACAATGCCTCACAAATGTGATGTCTAAGCAATATACAGCTGTACTGTCACGAAAAGTCCCTGTTGTTTGGCTCGTGATTATCATGAATTACAATGTCAAAAATAGGTAAGCAAGGTAGAAACTGCCCGTTCCTATATTTGGCTGCATGAGGAATATCCTCAATTATGTCTCGAGTATTATTGGAAAGCTAAAACAGGGAGGCCGGTGTATCTGGCATTCATTTAGAGATAATTACTAGTCATTGACGGGCTGATGTCTCAACTGTATTCTTAACCGGGGCAATTATTGCTAATTGGTATGGTAGAGCTGTTTAAGATGGCAACATTTTAAGTCGTTATAAGCAAAAATGCCATCAGAACATTTCTAATTCTTAACCTTTTGTTCCGAGACATTAAACCTGTTAGTTGCCTTCGTGCCTTGACCTTCTTTTGATTAACCCTATCGACTTCTTTGCTGAAAATTTTTCATTTATGGTGTCGTCGCCTAGTGGTTGGGCTCTTGGACTTGCAACCGTAAGGTTGTGGATTCTAATCGCGCCAGGAAAGACATTTTACACGAACTTTCCCCATTTCACCCAATTTGGCATGGATACCAGGTAATAGATAGCGAACAATCTTGTCAGTTTGTTAATGTTTGAAAGCTTACAACCAGCAGCTTGCAACGTTATGCTTGCCAGCAAGCCGATAAATTAATAGAGTGTTCTTGTTTCTGCTCGGTTAAAAATATATAGATCTACCTGTAGTTGCAAGGCACGTAGGGTTTACTTTCTAGTAGGGATTTGCGCTATATAAATGCAAATATTAATTAATTCAATGAGAAGAGAGCCAATATTAGTTGAAGAACTCACACACCATAGTAAAATTGTTGTTATAGATGTTAGAGGACTCCGAGTGCCGGAGGGAAAAAGAAGAGGACGATAGGGTGGGGTGGGATGAGGGGGTCTCAGTTCCAGAAGATTTCAAGAAGTCAGCGTGGTCCTTGATATGTAGTCGCAGACAGTGACGCATTAAGTTTTCCATATTTCCCCCGCTAATCGCCTGTCGTCGCCGCTTTCTATCTCCACCTCCTCACCTCGTTGGCCTCCTCTTCTGGGCTCCTGGCTCTTTCTGCAGTCTTTCCACTGCTATTCCTTGACTCCTTCTTAATACTGTCTTTCAGCCACACCCCTGATCTTATGGCAGGTAAAATCTAACGTCTTAACTTCTCGGACAACGGCGAAAAATCTCGGAGGTCCCGTGTGCAAGTTGCGCGCGTTTAATATCCCTTGGTGGTCCAAAATCGATAACAGTAGGCTTTGGCTATCACCTCGGAAAATTCAAAATTTCCTACTAACTGAACACGTTTAATGTGTCCCGCACGCTCATATGACCTTACGCAGTTACGAGCACCGTAAAGCACTTACTTAGATTTTTCAAAAGCATTAATCGGTTTAGTTCGTTTGCCAGCTTTGCAAGAACACCCCGACGCGCTTCTGTGTGCAGTGGTTAGGCACTCCGTCGTCGCACATAGAAGAACCGTGTTCGAATCCCGTGTAGGTTTGGTGGGGGGTTTTTTTGGTCAAGAACAGCATTTCTGTCGGTTTGTTGGGACGTTATGCCTTTCTTAGCCGAGGTTTGTCCTGACCAAAAAGATCAAAACCCTCCTCCTAAATGATCTAAATTGTGTCGAATGGGATTGTTAAAAAACAATTACATTGTACTTTTTAAAATTGCTTCGTAGCAGTTTTTGCGGCACTCGCAACTGCATAATAAGGTTATATGAGCGATAACAATTACATTTTTAATAGCGCACTTTTTGTACTATGCCCAGGCACTATAAGTGTCCCTCTCCTTCTGGTCAAAAGGTTGCTTTTAACTGATCGCTTTCCGTCCTCTTTTCAGGAGCTGTGAGATAAGCCACGCAGACTTGGCCAAGAAAGGCGAGACAGAAGTGGCACATTCTCTCTGGGCAGTCCTCGGTGAGTTGATGTTTTGTTTGCCTGTATGTGGAGAGGGACAAAAAGGTATGGAGTGAGTGGGAGAGTCAAGGGTGTTTGGAAGGGGGAGAATGGGAACTACAAGAGAGAGAGAGAGAGAGAGAGAGAGAGAGAGAGAGAGAGAGAGAGAGAGAGAGAGAGAGAGAGAGAGAGAGAGAGAGAGAGGTAGTGTGTGTGCGTTTGTTTATGTGTGTGTATGTGTGTGTGTTTATGTATGTGTGTGTGTGTTTGTCTGTGTGTGTCTGTCTGTGTGTGTGTGTGTGTGTGTGTGTGTGTGTGTGTATTTAATTAAGTGTAGGTTTGAAGATTGGCATATATTTTGTAACATGTCTTTTGTGAAAGAATTGATGGAAAGCGGGATAACTGCATAAAAGAAAAAACAATTGATAGACGCGTTTATCGATACCAGTCTCATTGCTGTGTCTCGTTTCTGTCAGATGTCGGGGAAGGCGTTGTTAGGGGCAATTTTTCTAGATTCCGGTAATTTTAAGCTTCATTATATGCTGCTGTGTTTTACAAAATGTTAAATTTCAAAATATGATAATATAATAGACCGATTTTGTTAGCTTAGATGATGTTTTCATCAAGTATAATGATGTGTTCTGAAAGAAATGCCAAAACCTAAAAATTGATACCAGGGACCCAAAACTCTCGTGAGCCGTCCCTGCTCCTAGATCAAGGTATCGAGGAGAAGAAAGTTACTCTATCCAGTTTCATTTAAGAAGTCAAGTGGGTGATCGAAATGAGTCAATGGCATTCGATTTGATGGCGATTTTTTCGGATCAAACGCCTCCATTTTTTCTTTTCGATGCTGCACATTAAAAATCTGAATTCAGGTAGTCCAATTGCCTTTTTAGAAGAAACGCTTTTTAGGGGCACTTTTAAAAGGAAGCAGAACTTTGTTATTCATGATGGCCTTTCTATTCTGTTTTCGTTGTTTGAAAGTTAAAGGTGTGGCAGACATGTTAACTATCCAATATGCAAATACTTTCATATGACCTTATGGAGTTGCAAGCATCGTAGAAAACTTACAAAAAATAAAAGACACACAAACAAAAACAAACGGAACCGAAAAAGCAACTTTGAAATTCATTTTTTCTGACGTATGGACTATTGTAGTACTTCATGTGTTTCAACACTGCATTTGGTCTGCTGTTGATCGTTTCCACGCTAGTCCCCAAACACTTAATCTCATTCAAACGCCATTTCACTACCTCAGAATTAAAAGCTCTACCAGTTAAGTACATAGTTTTGAGACATTTGACTTTTAAAAAGTAAAATTGAGTTTCACAACATGTCAAGCTTTTTTTAAAAAATGCACTTCCTTGAATACCTCGAAAACGACTCAGAATAGTCTAATGATTATGATGGACAGAAAAAGCATTTTGATTTCTGACCTCATGGTTTTAGTAGCTGAAAACGGCCTACAATGTCAGAAAGAACTTTGTAATTCTGAGTTAGCGATATATCCATGGTGTTCCCCAAGACAAAAGAACAGGAACTTCGAACACACAAGAAAATATCACCATAGAACACTGTTGACCAAGTTGTTTTTTTTAATCCGAAGGACGGGAAAAAATACTTTCTGACAGGACATCGATATCACATTACGATCTCGGTGCGAAGTGATGAAGGAACACACACGCTATACTACAGATATGGACATGCGAGCATAGAGACAGACGTAGTAACTAGACGATGGGTTTATAAAAAATCCAATTGCGTAGCTCATGAATGTCGTGTATCCCTGGTGCTGCTTAAGTCTCCGGAGTGGACATGGCCTGAACAAACACCCGCTGTCTGGTTTTCAGAACGTCTTGACCGGCGGCGTCTGTTTTGTTTTGGAAAGGGTTTTTTTTACGGCGCTCGCAAGTGCATAAGGTCGTGTGAGAGCTCTGCTACTGTCTGTGATGTAGGTGTTAGGTACTTTGCTGTCGCACTCGCGGAAGACTTTGGATCCGTTCTCGTGTGGGGCTACTATTTAGAAATTATAAATTACATTTTATTGATCCCCATGGTGAAATTTGCGTTACAATGGCAAACATACATTCATGAATGAATAATTAGAAATTTATACAGACATAAATTACACACATGAATACATACACAAATACATACATAAATACATACTTGAATAAGCTTACATGCATGAATACATACATAAATACACACATGAATACACACAAATACATACATAAATACATACATGTATGCATACAGGAAAACATACATGAATACACAATCTTATACCTGTACAATACAGAATAATGTTACAAATACGCCGTTGCTGATCACCACTTATTGAATATTTTGGCCTTTCTGCAAGAACAATGCATTTGTCTTAGCCCAAATTTACCCTCACAGGAGTTTGCGAAGTCCACCCCCCTAAGTTGTCTAAATTGTGTGGATGGGATCTTTGAAAAAATTTTTATTTAGTTTTAGTAGAGGTTTTTACGGCGCTCGCAACTGCATATGAGCGTCAGAAGATTAGAGGTGTTACAAGAGAGTAACAAACTTAAAAAAGAAGAAGGGGAGAAAGGGACGATAGATGTGTCATGGGAAAGAAGAAGCAAACCACACAAGAGCACCCGCCTACATCCCACATTTCAAAAATTAATATAAATTGATATAAACACAACGCCTCGTCAAATGTTGAGATTGCTTCAACATTAATACGTAAATCAAAGGACCTTAAGCTTAACATAGCGCTTTCGTTAAAGATGGGATGGAAAAATGAAGTTACGTCGTTCCAGCAAAAAAGAGTAAAAATGATAATAATAAATAGCATTTTTATTATAATAGCGCATACCCCCGCTCGACAGCAGGCTTTATGAGCTTTAAAATATATTCTCACAATAACGAGTACTTACTTATAATCGGTTAACTATGTCCCACCACCACTCATATCCGTTTCTGCCCTGCACGTTTCTTTTATGAATCACATTGGAAACAGCACATTTCCATTTAGTGTAATTAACGGGCATTGTTTTCTAATAATATGATTGTAATATAGCGCCTATTGTTTAGAATCAGGAAGGCTTTGAGGACTGTGCAGAGCAGAATTCTCATTCATTACATCTGACAAATCAAACGGACAAAAACAGTAAGAACATGCAAGACGCCATCTGCAGTTCACTGTTTTTGGCACTTCCATTTGTCTCAAAATATACCAGACCGTTGTCCCCTCTCAAAACACAAAGAACTTAAAAGGAGACGTCTTACCATAGCCAAAACTGAATTATGTGAAACTGCGATGTGGATCTAGAGCTATTAATCTATTATTACGGTACCGTGGTGGGAAATATTACAGTTTATTACTTTAGCATGTTCTTGCAAACGCTTATGTTGTAGATTGAGCATAATAAAAACTGCTCTGAGTTGATTGTCGCTTTAGTTGAACTAGTTTGGAATGTTTTCCAATAATTATCATCAACAACCCCCCCCCCACAAAAAATCAACAAAAAAACCCATAGCAAAACAACAACAGACAAAACAAAAAATTGCCTACACATAATTCTTTAAATTTGTTGATAGGCTTATCAATAACCTGAGCTCTTGTAGAAATAGGTTATTAATATTATGTCGAAGAAGGAATGATCCCTGAAGGGAATGCGGCGAGATCAAAGACATAACAGAGCGCTATCAATCACATGTTCACTTCGGTGATCTGTGAGGGTCCAGCGGTGCCGATGTAGGACGACAGAGGCAGGGAGAGAGAGAAAGAGAGAGAGAGAGAGAGAGAGAGAGAG